TTTCTTCCATATCTTTCCATCCCTCTCTCACAGGTGTCGCACTGCATCTGTCTGAGAGTTCTCCCCACCTGCCCTTGCTCCCTTTGTCATTCATTGGAATTTTTCCCCAATAATGTCCTACATATCCAATCCCATCCTGGTGTCTGCTTCTCAGAGAGCCCAAACTCACACAGTATCTGATGCAAAGTAGGTATCTAAAAATGTCAGTGGAATTGGATTTATGGTGCTTTTGTTGGTTACTAGATCTTGTCTTCTGCAGATCATTTCTTTCATATGAAGGTTCTATAATTATCAGGTGTCTTAGTCTGTTTAGTGTTGCTATAAAGAAATGCCTGAGGCTGGGTAATTTATAAAGGAAAAAAGCTTTATTTGGCTTCTAATTCTGATGTTTGGAAAAGTTTAAAATTGGGTGTCTAGATCTGGTGAGGGCCTCAGGGTACTTCCACTCATGGTAGAAGGAGAGCCGACCTGTGTGGACATTCCATGATGAGAGAGGAAGAAAGATAGAGAAATGAGGTGCCAAGCTCTTTTTAACAACCACCTTTCTTGGGAAATAACAGAGTAAGAAATCAGTCACTCGCCTCACCCCCAAGGAGGGCATTCATCTATTCATGAGCCAAACACCTCCCATTAGGCTCCACCTCCAACATTGGGGAAGAAATTTCAACATGAGTTTTAAAGGACACAAACATCCAAACTATAATCACATGGTTCATCAAACAACAACAGCCAATGCCCCCTTAAATAAGACTGAACTATCTATGGGTGATTTGGGATCATCACCATGGACATTTGTTGACTAGGAATACACACTGATACCCCCAGGACCCACTGAAATGTCTAAGCCTGTTTACCCCTTTATGGATGAATCCAGATAGATGTCATTGAGTTGTTATGTCTGTTTTTAATTGGTTTTATTTTTCTGTCTGTGTTGGCTGACAATGTTTTTAAATGCTAGGTATGAGAGGGACTTCAAAGATCATTCATGAGTAGATTTTCAGAGCACATGACCTCTAAGTACTAGCTAGATGCTGGGAATTTAGGGTTAGATAAGACATGGTCCTCTTCCTCAAGGTGTGAGCAAGTTCTGGCTCCTCGTTTTACAGATGACAAACCAATTTGGCAAGATTTCTCAGCAGATCCATTAAGATATGGGAAATGCAAGAAGCTAATCTATAATGATAGCAAAGTATTTCCTCAAGATGGGCAGGTGTAGATCCAATCTGAACCTTTATTGCAACTTCTGGGCCCCATGCCTCAGCCAGTTGATAATGGGATAGAATCACCTGCGTAGCCAGTCATCTGAGGCATCTCAAGTTTTCTGTGACTAATCAACATACTGAAAAAGATGTTGCTGTGAGCTGACTCCATCAACAGGGACCTCACGCTGCTCATTTAATTGTTGATTTACCCTTATGAGAGAATAAGAAATGTGGTAACTTGAAAAATATGCTAGACATTAGCTTGGAGGAGTATCTACTTTAATGAATAGTACAGAGTAATCAGGATCTGGAGACCTGGTTTACTCCTAGCTCTGTTACTAGTTTTCCATGTGACCTTGGACAGGGCATTTCACCTCTTCATATTTTAATTATCTTCAAAATTGGATAATAAATACTATGTTACAAATAAGAGAGGATCTCTATATCAAGGCACTTTATAAATAATTCAGCACTATATAAGGATAAGAGACATTAATTTTATTCTGCCACATTCTTTGGTGAGATCATTCATTCACTTACTCAAAAAGCATCTTCATAGCCCTATGTATAAGGCAGTTCTAAGTACTTTGTAAATCTCCACAATACTGTAAGATGTGTACACTATTATTATCACAATTTTATAGAAGAAGAAAGTGAGGTGCAAATAAGTTAAATAACTTGCCAAATGTCACACGTGTAGTAAATGGCAGACCTGGAATTCTCACCCATGCAATCTGGTGCCATAATTCATGCTATTGACCACTGCGCTAGAGGATAGAATGCTTTTTCTTTAAACTGGAATTTGACTCAGTGAGGTAGACCTGAAAGAGAGAGAGAAGGAAAAAGAAGAGACATAGACTCAGAAGAAAGAGAAAGGGATGGGGAGCAATAGGATATCCATGAGAGGGACCACAGGTAGAAGGAGAGTACTCTGGCCAGGAAAGTGATGGTCACCCCAAAACATACATGGTCTTCCTTCAAGAAGATGGTTGCTCCATTCAGTGTCCTGGAAGAGAAGAGATAGAGGAGAGAGCTCTTGGGCAAACAAACTTATTTCAAGGAAAGACACAGATCGTCAAGAGAGATTGTTATTTTCCATGATGGTCGGCAGGTCACAGATCCCCATATTGATTCAGGCTCCTGGAGAGTCCCTCAACAAGCAGTAAAGGGGAAGGGCCACTCATTCCTTGTTAATTATGAGATTCCTTATTGATCATGAGAACTGATTGACTAATGAGCAGATTTTAACATTGTTTCTAGCGATCCTGGCCTCCTCATAGTTACACCTTTGTGTAATCCCCTCCTTTTAAGGGTGGGGTGGACTTGTAGACTCTCTTCCAATGAATGTCATTAGTGATGGATGCCACTTCTAAGATTAGGTTGTAAAAGACAATGCCGTCTCTCGCTCTCGCTCACTCGCTCTCTCTTGCTCTCATCTCACTGGTGTGGAGAAAAGCAAGCTGCCATGTTGTAAGCAATCCTATGCCCCCAGAGAATGGTGAGGGACTGAATATTTCAGTGCCACAGTCCATAAGGAAATGAAGCTTGTTAACAACGATGTGAATGAGCTTGGAAGTAGAGCCTCCAGCTGCTATTGAGATCGAGAAGACAGTAGATCTCACTGACTTCATGACTATAATCTCAGGAAAGACCTCTGGCCAGAATCATCCAACTAGGCTACTCACAGATCCCTGACCCACTAGACTAGAACATATGCTGTATGTGTGGTTAGGGCAGAGATGAGGTCAGAGAAGTGAACAATGATATGATGGGCTAGGGTGGTTTGCCTAGAAAGTCAAGATTTTCCTTATAGAATCGCTCTGCAGAGGTTTTGATGGATTTCTCTGAGTGAGAAAGTACAGGAAGGCTAAGAATTTGAAATATATAGGTTAAGAATCTGAAACATCTTAGGAATTTTGGATCTTCTAAGTCTATAAATTCAACAACCTTCACTGCAATTGATTTCCAGGCTAGAGTTCTCTCTGCCTCAGGGGTTTTGATTTTATTTCTAATAATTCTTTATTGTCATTAATGTTATAATAAAATGTGATGCATGTAGCTTATTGCATGATTATGGGGCTCACTGAAGACTTACTGGACACTGTGCTCCACCCACAGTCTCAGACATAGATCTGGAGGGGTCTTTGTGGAGCTGCCATACTTCATGTCATGGATGTGGAAAATGGTGTCTGGGTGGATCCTATCTCTCATTCTCACAGCCTATAAAAGGATCCTGCCCAAGTTTAGCCTACCGAGAGAGTTATAATGCCATGGTTAAGAGGGAAACTTCTGAAGTCAGAGAGAACTGGGCTCATAGGCTGGTGCTCAAAAGTATCTGTGTGAACTTGGATAAATTACTTAACCTCTCTGGGTCTCAGTTTTTTCAACTGTAGAACAGGGATGGGAATGGTGCCAGTATCACAAGTTATGATATGAATTAAATGAGATGATGTGCATGCGGGGCCCTGGCACAGGGTGTACTTGCCAGAAATATTGGTTACTATTACTTGTGATGCCACAGAATGCCATTTCCTATTCAAATTCATTTTTTCTTGCCTTTCCCTTTTGCTGACTGTAGAATGATTTTATGTATGAATTATAAATAAGTCCTAATTATGGTACCAGAGCCCTGTCAGTACGAATCCATAACAGATATCCATGTCTACATGTTATCGGAATTAATAGGTATACTAGTCTTCCATTGCTGCATACTGACTTACCCTTAAATTTAGCAGCTTCATCTAACACATCTATAATACCTTGCAGTTTCTGTGGGTCAGGAATCTGAGTCCAACTTAGCTGGGTCTTTGCTTCAGGGCCTCTACAAGGTTGAAATCAAGGTGTTGAATGAGACTGCAGTCTCACCTGAAGGATCGGCTGGAGACATGATCCGCTGCCAAGCACACGTGGTGGCTGGCAGCATTCATTTCTTTGAAGGCTGTTGGACTGAGGGCCTCAGCTCCCTGCTGGCTGTTGAGTAGATGCCATCCTCAGCTCCTCATCATTGTGGCCATCTCCAGCTTGCTTCATCAGAGCAAGCACACAAGAGTCGGAGTGAAAGGGAGAGAGACAGAGAGAGAGTATGAGTGTGTGTGTCATTTGTATCCTAATCTCAGAAGTGACGTCCCACTACTTTGTACTTCTCACAGAATATGTCAGCATAACAAAACATCATCCAGTAATCCAGGATAAAACCATTAAACGACCTAAGGTAATCCTTCCTGTTAATACACACACCACACACATAATCGGGGTAGTGGTAGAACATCATTGTGCTTAACCCCTAGGTAGGTGCTAAGATGGTCTCATTCCCTGAAAGATCTCTCTGTCTCCCAGATACATCTCTCAAGAAGCCCATGTTCTGTCTGGGACATGGGTGGTCTGCTAAGTCTGCATTCAAATTTTCATTCATCATTCCCTTCTAGTTCCCACTGACCTCTCAGGTATGTTTTTCACTTAATCATCATGTCTCAGTCCCTGCATGTTTACATAATTTATTTTTCTTAATTTGCATGACAGCCAGGAGAGATAATATATTGCAGAACTGAGGTCTACAAAGATGAAGTGACCTACATAGCAAGAAGCTGAGCTATGGCTGGAATTCATACTCCAAATTCTAGGCTGTTTCCAAAACATATTATAGCTCCATAGCAGCTCCCTAGAGCCAGAACTCCTGGTCAGTCTTACCATGGGAAAGGTAGCATCAATATCTAACATTTCTGGCAATGACTCTAATATATGAGCACAGAGACCCTCAGCCTAGAGACCTTGCAGCTTTCCAACAGCTCAGCTTCCTACTGGCTATCCACCACTTAGGCTTTCAGCTTCTCAGTCCTGTCTCTGACACAGCCCCCCATCAGTCCCCAAGCAGAGACTTGCTGCAGCACTGAGCACGTAATTATGATTGCCAGTTTCCCCTGATCAGTAAGTTCTGCCAGGATAGAAGTTGGATATTATTGCTAGTACCTGGCAGAGTGCCTGGTACAAAATAGGCACTCAGTAAAAATTGATAGTGCTTGGGTAGACTGTAGTCATTTCCAGCAGGAGCTCCCAGAAAGGGTTGTTTTTATGCATCCTTTAAACTAGAATGACGCCCTCAGTGCCACTGTTCTCCTCATCACAGCACTGACTGCACTGGATTGCAATGGGGAGTTCATTCGTTTACCTATGCCTTTGTTCCCCTTAAAGTAGACCCTAAGACAGGGTTTGGGTGTAAGTAGTTTCTTTGGGAGAATATAATAGGATGAACTATGAATAGGTGGGGGAAGTGTGACAAGTAGGAGAGGAGCAGTGGCAGTCGGTCATTGGGGCTCAGTCCCACTGGAGCCTTGTGAGTGGTAGTGTTGACCAGTCCTCAGATTGCCCCCACTGGGGCGAGGAATCTGGAAAATTTATCCACCAGCTCCCATCCCTCAGTGATTGAGGCTTGTTCCTGGGCTGTTAACTCCCCAGCCTTGTTCTGTGGCCATTGATGCATACAGAAACTGTCCACGAAGACTTCTGGGGTAGGACAGGTGGACACACCATCAGGGTACCAGTCATATCTGCTTATGTCGTTTGGGTAGCAAGGTCTTCAGTGAAACTTATAACTAGGGTTTATTGAGAAATTGCTACGTGCCAGCCATGTGTATACTCTTATACATAGTTTTTGCAACCAGGTGGTTACTATTATCAGCCCCATTTTATGGATGAGGAAACTGAGGCTCAGTGAAACTACCTAACTTGTCCAGGCTGGTGAGTAGCAGAACTCAGTATTCTTCCTGGGTGTGTGTGATTCCACATCTGGAAAATTTATCCACCAACTCCCTGGGTGTGCCCATTCCACTTTATTGCACCTCCAGCAGTGCTTAGCAAATGAGGTAATGATTGGGCTTGAAAGTCGGGAACAGCAGGAATCCTGAAGAGCACTTAAAAGTCCAGCATTAGAGGATTGAGCCTGGGATAAACACAGGCTGAGTGAAAATTAAAAGGGAAGAAAGTGAGGGAGTAGAAAGTCCAAGTGGCCGGTCCAGTCAAAGAGGCCACAGTCAGAGCCAGGCATAAGTATTGCAGGTGAGCAGACCCAGGGAGTACTCAGCTTGTGACAAGGAGAGCAGAGGACATCCAGATACATCCAGAAGCATCTTGCATATTAGTAGAAAGAAGTTGTTGTTTCTTAAGTCCATCAAATAGAAGAGGCAATAAAGAATCAGTGAAACTTCAAGGTTGAATAACTCATTTGGGGGTAGTTATGGATCACCAAACATGTGTTCACTCATTTGTGATAGCATGCCAGAGCTGAAATAAGCCTCCATCAGAGGACCAAGTTCTCATCATGGCCAGAAGAAATGTCTCCTCCATGGCTATGCAGCAGAAGCAAACGGGCATCCCAGTTCTCACACATGGATCAGTTGTTACTACTTATAAATGAACTCTTGGAATTTCCAAGTCAACTGTGCAAAATGGTTCAAGTCAATTCCTCCCTGTACCATAGCCTCATCATTTTTATCTGTAGACAGAAGCAATGATGCTGTGTGACAGTAAGGGGTAAAGGAAGTCACAGGTGTGAACCTGCTGCTGACAGTCCATCCTGTGATTGGTGCAGAGCCCACATGGAAGTTCCCTCTAGGCCCTGCCCCACCTGGTTGGCAGGGAACAGTGAGCTCAGAGCCAGAGCCAGTAATCTGGGGAGGGGCACAGGGGAGCCTATACCACGTTCACCTCCACCAAAAAGAGAGGCCTCTCGTTTAAGACCCCCTTTCCTGCTCTGTGCAAACTATGGCCTGACCACACTTAGACATGGACATGAAGCATCTCCCCTGGTTTGTGAGCAACACCCACTGGCACCCAAGGGGCTAGACAAAGGCAGGAAGGGAAAACTGACATTTCAGTATTGATAGTCGTTTCTACCAGGAAAGTCAAGCTGAGAGAGGAAATGCATGCACTGTGGGCCTCAGAGGTGTTTCTCAGGATTCTGTTCTTCCATCCTCATCTGTCAGATGCAGTGGTGGTTGAGATGGCTAAACGTTCTGATTTTGCCATTTTGTGATGAAGATAGATAAGTCAAGGATGCTAAAGACACATTTGGCAAACTCTTCCCTGCTATCTGGAGGCACTTGTTGGAGAAAGGTTGAGATGAGTGTTTATGGTTTGCTTCAGTTCCTCTGTTGTGCGCCAGGCCTGATGCTAGGTGGGGTGTAGGGGGCACAGCTTCTCTTTCCAGGAGGGGACACTGTCTGCCAGCAATTGCAGCTAACATTTATGGAGCACTTGCTTTATGCCATACTGTTCTAAGCAGTCTGTGTGTTAGCTAGCTATATCATCACCACACCCTACAGGGTAGGTTCTATTCTTGCTCTCCTTTAAGAGTTAGTCGCTTGTCTAAAATCACACAACTAAGCCTACCGTTTTACACCCTACAGAATAATATTTCACCTGACATTTCAGGAGTGCCTTTTGTGTGCCAGGCACTGTGATAGGCGAGTTATAAATGTGATCTGCTTTAGCCCCCTCCAGCAACTTGGAAGGTAGACACTATGGCTTTGTGTCTCTGCACGATGTCCAGCAAGTCTTCAGTGAGCCCCATAATTATGCAATAAGCTACATGCATCACATTTTATTATAAAATTAGTGACAATAAAGAATTATTGAAAGAATAAAATTAAAACCTCTGAGGCAGAAACGTGTAAGGAGTTAGGCTCAGAGAGGTGAAGTGTCTCCTTCAAGGTCACACAGCTCGTGTGTGGAGAACCTAGAGTGTCATATAAGTCACTCCTACAAATGTATGAGAAGGAAATCAGCCCAATTTGTACCCCAGACTGGTAAGACTCCCAAGAGCAGTACCAGGCATGATATAGAAATACAAGATTGAGTCTAACTTGGGAGATGTGGGAGGGAATTGTGGAGAACATGGCTTTCGAGCTGGGCATGGAAGGACGGGTGAAGTGGAATAGGGATGGAAAGGCATCTGTGTGGCTACATGAAGTGCTTACAGTTAGCTTCATGGTTATGGTAGGCTTATGGTTAGACTATCTGGATGCAGTCCCTAGCTCTATAGTTGTGTGACATTAGACATGCTACTCATCTTTTCCCACCCTTAAAAATAAGAGTAAGAATAGAATCTATCCTGTAGGGTGTGGTGATGATATAGTTAGCTAACACATGCATGGAGGCAAGCCAGCAGTTAGCAGGCTCAGAAAGTAGCAAGAAAGTGGAAGCAGTAAGGTGAATAGGCTGAGGTAAAACGTGGAAGGCCTCGTTCCGGAGAGGAGCCAGACCTTGTGCTGCATCCGCAGAGACTGCTGGATGGTGGCCTAATGGGTAGAGAGGCGGGAGGAGGGAGTCACCAGTGGGCATTAGGAAAGAACTTCTGACAGATCCCTGAATGTACAAAAGTTCTTCCAGCCCAAACATCTCCCCAGCCCTCCCTAATCTTGTTCTTTGACCCCAGATACAAAATTTTGCCGTGTTTGTGGGTTGCGGAAGCAGAGTTGTGGAGTTTCTAGTTGCAGAGACTTGGTTTGTCTGGGATTGATTTGTCTAGTGGTTTCCTTTGCTTTTCAGAGCACCATCCAGGGGAGACTACTTGTGGATCCAGTCACATGCAGAGTGCTTTCTTCTTTTGTCCCCACTTAAAAAATTTATTTATTTTAATTGACAAGTAAAAATTGTATATGTTTATGATATATCACGTGGTGTTTTGATATATGTATACATGGTACAATGGCTAAATAAAGCTGATAAACATGTATTCGTTCACATACCTATTTTTTGGCAGTGAGAACACTTAAAATCCATTCTCTTAGCAATTTTCAAATACACAATACATTATTAACCATAGTCACCATGATGTACAATAGGTCTCTTGCACTTATTCCTCTTACGTAACTAAAATGTGATGACCTTTGACCAACGTCTCCTCAATCCTCCCACCCTCTGTCCCCAGCCTCTGGTAACTACCATTTTGCTCCCTATTTCTATGAGCTCAACTATTTTACATTCCAAATATAAGTGAGGTCATGCAGTATTCATCTTTCTGTGCCTGGTCTGCTTCACTTAACATAATGTCCTTTAGGTTCATCTATGCTGTTTCAAATGATGAGATATCCTTCTTTTTTAAGGCTCAACAGTATTTCAGTATGTATATATACACCTATTCTAAAGTATATTCCATATATTCCAACAATATTGTTGGAATGCATGTACACACATATATACACACACATATATTCCAATGTATTTTCCATATATTCCAACAGTATTCTATTATGTATATATACACACTGTTCATTCATTGATGGGCACAGGTTCTATATCCATTTATTTTATTTTATTTTATTTTTTACAGCCTGTTCTCCTCACACACAGCCCTCCCTGACCTATCCTTCATGGTGCTATCAGAGAAACTGCTATTTATCATGTTTATACTAAAAACCTTTTAACCACTCTTCTTAGGACAAAGTCCAAACTCCTCAGTCTGGCATAAACAGCCCTTCAAGTTATGGCTATGGTTTTTCCCTCCGGTTCTATCTCTAGAGTTGCCTGCAGGAGTTAGTTATATATTCATAGGAATTTTGGTTTTGTTCCTTAAGTACTTTAAAAATAATAAGCCCTCTTACTTTCTTCCTAACTATTGACATGCTATCCTCTCTGGAACCTGGTTCTTGGCTGCAGTTGCTTTTACTCAACTTGCAAAACTCTGCTTCACATTCTCCAGGCTGGGTTTTCCTGACTTCCTTACTACCTGGCTCTATTAAGTGGCACTCCTTTGGATTTCTTTTTTTTTTTTTTTTCCCATTTATTTATTTTATTGCATTTTAGGTTTTGGGGTACATGTGAAGAACATGCAAAATTGTTGCATAGGAACACACGTGGCAGTGTGATTTGCTGCCTTCCTCCCCATCACCTACATCTGGCATTTCTCCCCTTGCTATCTCTCCCCAGCTTCCCACCCCCCACCGTCCCTCCCCTATTTCCCCCCAACTGACCCCAGTGTGTAGTGCTCCCCTCCCTGTGTCCATGTGTTCTCATTGTTTAACACCCGCCTATGAGTGAGAACATGTGGTGTTTGATCTTCTGCTCTTCTGTCAGTTTATTGAGAATGATGGTTTCCAGGTTCATCCATGTCCCTACAAAGGACCCAAACTCATCGTTTTTGATGGCTGCATAATATTCCATGGTGTATATGTGCCACATTTTCCCTATCCAGTCTATCATCGATGGGCATTTGGGTTGGTTCCAGGTCTTTGCTATTGTAAACAGTGCCGTAATAAACATGGAAGTGCAGATATCTCTTTGACGTACTGATTTCATTTCCTTTGGATGTATACCCAGTAGTGGGATTGCTTGATCATATGGTAATTCTACTTCTAGTTTCTTGAGGACCCCCCCCAATACTGTTTTCCACAATTGTTGTGCTAATTTACATTCTTACCAACTGTGTGCAAAAGTGTCTTTTCCCCACAACCTCACCAACATTTTTTAAAATCTCTTGTCTTGTTGCTGATAACCATTCGAACAGGTGTGATATCTCCCTGTGGTTATAAGTATCATTTTCCTGATAATTAGTGCATAGTGCTTCATTCTGAAAGGGGAAGATGGCACAAGAGCTGCCTTGAAACCTAGCCATGGAGACAAGAGGAACAGACTGTCTGAGCTGGTTCAGCTTCCATCCTTTAGTAGGGGAGCCACACAGGGAGGATGAGGGGGTTAGATTGCTAGAGTCTTTTTCAGTTAGGGTGGGCTAGCTTGGGGTCTGCTTATCTGGACTTGTTTAAAGTTGAACAAGTCTCCTATTGGTATTGTCTGGGGTTCCTGATATATATTGATCATGATAGAGAGATGTCTGTCTGTGAGATGACTGTGAAGGATTAACCCTCTCTAAAGGTGCTCTTAGGAAGGCCTATATGCTTTTCCATACATACAGGAATTCCATCAGGGATAGCTTTGTTGTTCACCATGAGATTCCACCAAGATATTTTAAGAAATGAGTGCAAAACAGTGTAAATCGAGAGCTCAGTTTCTTAGCAATAACATGTATTTAGTGTGTTTGGAAGGAAAACAGCCTAAATTATAGAAAAGTGTGATGATCAAGATCTGACATAAATACATCAACAAAGACTAAATGTAGACACAGACATCAGAAATGCCTTTCTCACATGCTGCAGGGGTGTCTCCTTTGCCTGGCAGAGCTTTAGAAACACACCATGTGCCTTCAAGGGGCGTTTGGCTGTGGTGCAGGCAAAGCCTAAGCTGCTCTGATCTTTGGGCCTGGCGTCACCTGGAGGAGGGATTTTCCGTACCATGTTCCAGATGCTGGACAAAGACTTTATGTCTGGGGCTAGAGGGTTTTTGGCTGATGGGACTCCACAGATTTGGTCAGCCTTTTGGCACTGGTTCTTGCGTTTCTGGGTGTGCTCACATAGGGCTCCTAGCTTTTAGTACTCAACCCTTAGTTGTGTTCACATCTTTTTGTGACCTTTGTTGGTCTGGGCCAGCTTTCCCTTTTTAACCAAGACTGCTGTCCGTAGATTCCTGGTGCTGCATAAGTCTAATCTGTTCCTGCCCTCGATGCTCCCATTGTTGGGTTCTCTCTCCATCTCTGTGACTTTCTGGATACAAACTATGCTTGATCTGATTCATAACAATCCCTAATGATTGATTGATTGATTCCTTTGATATGACAAAGAGAAGTGCCTGGAGTAGCAATTGTTATTGTGAAACAGGGCTGAGATGCTGAGCATGGTGAATATTTCTGCCACCTGGGAGAGGTCACGTGGAATATTTTTAAGTTGTGATTTTCTCTACTTCCTAGAAACTCCTCAGTTTTTGGGTTGGTTTTTACTTTCTTTTAATATCTCTTGTCTAGACATCTAGGAGCCTAGAGATAATTACATTGGCCAGTCCCTTAACATTTTTTTTTTTTTTTTTATCATTATTTTTTTTTGAGACGGAGTTTCGCTCTTGTTACCCAGGCTGGAGTGCAATGGCGCGATCTCGGCTCACCGCAACCTCCGTCTCCTGGGTTCAGGCAATTCTCCTGCCTCAGCCTCCTGAGTAGCTGGGATTACAGGCATGCACCACCATGCCCAGCTAATTTTTTATATTTTTAGTAGAGACGGGGTTTCACCATGTTGACCAGGATGGTCTCGATCTCTTGACCTTGTGATCCACCGGCCTCGGCCTCCCAAAGTACCGGGATTACAGGCTTGAGCCACCGCGCCCGGCCTAACATTTATTTAATAAAGCACTTTTACATATATTAAAGGGAGACAGTTCAGAACATAGACTTTGGAGGCACGCTGCCTAGGTTACTGTCATGGCTCTGCCATTGCGGGCTGGGTAATCTTCAGCAACTCCCTCTTTCTGGGCTCAATGTTCTCATATAATAGGGGCAATAATATACCTACTTTATAAATTTGTAAAGTGATTAGAACAAGACTTCCATGTAGTAGTCCTATATGAGTGTTATTTACTATTATTATTTTATTTTATTTTTTATTTTTTTGAGATGGAGTCTGGTTCTCTTGCTGAGGCTAGATGCTCTGGCGTGATCTCGCCTCACTGAAACCTTTGCCTCTCGGGGTCAAGTGATTCTCCAGCCTCAGCCTCCTGGGTAGCTGAAATTACAGGCATGCACCACCATGCCCAGCTAATTTTTGTATTCTTAGTAGAGACGGGGTTTCACTATGTTGACCAGGGTGGCCTTGAACTCCTGGCCTCAAATGATCCACCCAACTTGGCTTCTCAAAGTGCTAGGATTACAGGCATGAGCCACCATGCCCGGCCTATTTACTATTATTATTATTATTGTTATTGCTATTATTGCTACAACATTTACTCTTATGACCAGCCTTTTAGATTAGTGGCATAATTGAAATTACCTTCGATTCTAGTTCCTTCCTTCTTAAGCCCTAGCTTTCAAGCCCTATTGAGTAAATTCACCCTGTCCTAAGTATTTGGGGAGCTTCCCAATGCTGTGTCTCCTGCATTTAGCATCAAGCCTCATAGGCATAGTCCTCTGCTGGTGATCACTGGCACTTGTACTCCTGCCAGGCACTGATACTGCTCCATGGCTTCGTCCAGCTATCATTGCCCTTTCCTCTGTTCATCCAGGTCCAACAGTTCTTCGGAGATCATTTGAAAGGCCCAGAGCCTCTAAGTTGCAGATTGACCCAGAATGGAGCATGGAGAATGGCTCACTGCCCTTTGCTTTACACTTTTGACAAAGGATTCAGCCCTCCTGCAAAGAAAATTCATTCTACCAAGCATTAGTGAGCAATAGGGATTTTCCTGGAGATTAGGCCCAAGAGATGGTTTTATTGCATACCATGTAGCAAAACACCAAATAAACACTTCTTTAGCCTGCAAGGATTCTCTTCGCAGGCACCTGTCCCTCAGACATTTCTAAACTGTGCTGCTCTTTTCTCTCCTCCTCTTTTAAAAACAATTCAGAATAATCTCTGTCTTTTGCGTGATTTTTGGACTCCTGCTTACTTCAGCCCCCAAGGTGCTCATCATAGCCACTCTTTGGCACAGACAGTACCTTCCTCATATCAGTTGCTAAAGAAGTCAAATGTTTCTTCATATATTACACAAAAATAAGGCTGCTGCTCCTCTGGGTCACTGTGGTGCTCACTGACCAGCCTTAAGGCCAGTTAGTGTTTTCAGATCTATTCAATTTTGAATTCTATTCCAACTTGCAAAAGCTTGTGTTGCAGAATTTGCTCTGCCCAGGACCACAGCCTTCTTGACTTGCAGAAATGTGTGTAGCATGGTATTGGACACCTCCATGGGGATGGGCACCCCAACATGGCTGCAGCTGGCAGCCTGGCCTTTCCTTGTAAGACCAGCCCATCCAGGTGTATGCTTTCAGGAAGTTAATCAAACCTCACGGCTTTTTAGAGAGACTGATGTGTGCCCTCAGAGAGCACACAGGGGTCAGAATATGCATGGCACTGGTAGGGGCCAAGTTGTTGGGTGGAAATGGCCTGTCTGGCCGAATCCAGTCACTAGAGAACTGTTTTCCAGAGTGTGCTCCACAGAAAACTTTCATCACCTGGGGAATGTGTGAAACATACAAATGCCAAGGCTTTCCCAAGTCTCTTCCCATCAGAGCTTGT